CAAGGCCAGCTTGAACTGCATAGTAAGACCCTGCCGGAGAAAAACCAAAAAAAAAAAAAAAAAAAAAAAAGTTAAATGAGATATGGTGATATATGGAGAGCTTGTTCCGATACATGGCAGAGAATAACATCTCTGTCAGTGTTTGTTGTTATTTTTGTTACTTGATTCAGCTCACCAAGGGAATCTTCTTTCTGTTTGTGATGGAGTCAGGGAGAGCCAGTTTCCGAGTGACATCAGAGGTAGTAAATTAGACTCCTACCTAGGGGAAACAGATTAAGATTCTACCTGTGAGTTCATGGGATATCCTTACTGCCTGTAGGGAGACAATGTGGTTTTAGGGCCAAAGCATAGAACTGTGGCTTGAATGATAGTAGAATTTCATGTTCCAATCACAGCTCTGTCACTTGTTATCTTTTGTATGAACTTGCATGTCATTTTGGCTCTCTCGTCTTGGTATATTCATCTAGAAATGAGATCAACAAAAACCACCTTGCAGTTACTAAAAGAATTACCCAAGGCCGGGCGTGGTGGCACACGCCTGTAATCCCAGCACTTGGGAGGCTGAGGCAGGAGGATCATTGAGAGTTTGAGGCCAGCCTGGGCTACAAAGTGAGCTCAAGGCCAGCTTGAACTGTGTAGTAAGACCCTGTCTCAAAAAAAAAGGCAAGAAAAACAAAAGAAAACAGAAAAAGAATGACCCAAGGTTAAGGCTATCAAATATCTGACTTATGGCAGGTGCTGGATAAAGGTCAGGCTTTGTTAATATTATTGCTGTTATTAATAGAGCAATTGTCTGAATAAGGGTGTGTGTAAAGTATTTTGAAAGCTGCCTCTAAGGTGAACGAGGAAGATTATTAAAGGAAGGAGCTGAATGTCAAAGGGCCATCCCTAGTTTCCTCTCTATTGCCCGCAAAGGACATGCCACCGAGTTGCCAGGAGAGATAATGTGGTATCAGGAATTAAGTCAAAATAAAGCCAGGCCTGGTGGCACATGCCTATAATCTCAGCACTCTGGGAGGCTGAGGCAGGAGGATCACAAATTTGAACCTAGCATTGGCAATTCAGTGAGATCCTATCTCAACAACAACAAAAAAAGGGCCAGCCTGAACTGCATAGCAAGACCTGGTCTCAAAAAAGACAAAAAACAAACAAACAAAAAACTTAAAAAGGCCTGAGGATGTAGCTTAGTACAAAGTCCTAGGTTTGGGGCTGGGGATTTAGCTCAGTGGCAAAGCGCCTGCCTGGCAAGCGCAAGATCGTGAGTTCGGTTCCCGGTACTGGAGAAAAAAACCAAAAAAACAAAACAACACAAAGTCCTAGGTTTAATTCCTACTTTAAAGAAAAAGAAGAGGAAGAGGAAAGAAAAGGGAGAAGGAGAAAGAAGTTAACTCAGAATAGGAGTGATTTGAAGATTTGGGTCTTGGATTATTTCTGCTCTTATTCTAAGACTGAGAAGAAACAGCCCTTGTAGAGGAGGCAGATGTGACTAAAACCCATAGCTTTGTCCCCCCCCTTTCCCTTTTTGCAGTTACAGAGACATCTCTTCTGATTTGGATAGAACAGTCCAGTTTCCACACTGCTTTGCACATAGCAGGATGTCAGTATCCCATGAATGAATGAGTGAATGAATGAATTGGTCATCATCAGAATTTTAAAGTTTCCTAGGCTGATGGTTTGTGTCCTGATGGATTCAGTAGCACCTGGCCTGTGATGCAAGGAGGAGGGCTGTGTATGTTCCTCATTCCTGCCCTGGCCGAGTCTCCTCTTTGCTTTTTCCCCAGGGGTTGACAGGGGAAAGAGAAGGTCAGTTTATGGTTAGCATCATTCGCAGGTGACAGTAGTGGCTTTAGTCAGTTGGGTAGGAGTTTTCCGTGATGTCTCCATTTTCTGAGAAGCAGCCAGGGAACTTGAGACCTCAGTCTAGAGCCCATTGAACAACTGTCAAAAGCTGTTCTCATTATCTTTACAACAATCTGCTTAGGGTGGCATTGTTACCCCTCGGTTTAAAGAGGGGAGTGAGTTCTGCAAAGATCGCACAGTAAGGAATGGCAGGACCGCCTGTCTCCAAACACACCTGCCCATACTGCATTGAGCTGGTTGGGTTGCAAGCCACTTATGTGTGTTCTCTGTTTGTCAGAAGCATCTACAAAGCATCTCTCGTGTTATAGCCCAGCTTTTCCCAAGTGTCTTAGCACTGGGCTGTCATTCAGGTTCAAATGCTGGTGGTAGAACGGATCAGAACCGAAGACCAGCTCCGTCCTAATCAGGAATAATCAGCAACGGGTTTATCCTTCTCATCCTCCTGATCCTATTATTTCATTCTATGACTCTAAAAGTGTGGCTTCTGGAGGCCCAGGGACTGCGGCTTAGTGGATAAGGATTTCGAGCAGGGTGCACATGTGACCTGCTTTATTCTTCAGGGCACCCACCAGCCCTGTTCTGTTTCCTGTTGATGGTCAAGCCATCTGCCCCGCCTGACCACTGCCCAGCTCAAGTTAGTTTAAGGAAGCTGTGAAGCCCCAGGTCCGAACTCTTGGATCTCTTTTGCCCTTAAACCTCAGGCTGGTGTCAGCCCCCCTCACTGTAGCAGGAGGGGCTTTCTTCAAATGCTTAATTTTTCCAGAAGGGGCCTGATTTTGCTGTCTTCGGTCTCCTGTTTCCAAGGACTGAGGCGTTTCCCAAGGTCGACATGCTGGTGCTGTGACCTGGTATGGCCTGCAGAGGGCAGGACTCACCAGGTCTGAGTGAGTGGATGCTGGATGAATGAATGCTGCACCTGGCCCTTTAAGACACTGACTAGGCAGAGGAGGGGGACATTTTCTAGGTGAAAAGTATTGTCCCTTTGACTCTCATGAGAGCCCTAAGGGAGGCATTACTAGCATCCCCATTTTATAAATGAAGAAACTGAAGTTCAGAAAAACCACCATGTCCTCAAGGTTCCCACAGTTATTAAGCAGCAGGGCAAGATTTGAACCCAAGTCAGTCTAATTGCATTCCATGCCATGGGATCTCAGTGGTTCTCACCAGTGTGCAGGTTCGCATTCCCTGGGAGTAGACTTAAGTACTGTCTGGAGCCCATGTAGATCTGTTAAAGCAGAATCTCTGGGGAAGACCCACGTGATCCTGGCCTACAGCCCGCGCCGAAAACCCTGCCTGATGCCCACCCGTCTCTGCACGTTTCCACCTGTTGACTTAGTGTGAATTGAGTTTTCTTTTCTTGCTTTCTTTTTTCCTTTTTTCTTTTCTCATCTTTTCTTTTCTTTTTTTTCTTTCAACTCAAACCCAGAGCTACATCCTCAATCCTTTTCTTTTCTTTCTTTCTTTTTTTTATTTTGAGACAGGCTCTTGACAGATTGCCCAGGCTGGTCTCAAACTCAGTCTTCCTGCCTCAGCCTCCTGAGTAGCCAGGATTACAGGCATATATCACCCACCTGGTTGATTCTCCAGATTTTTCCCTATAAGTCTTTCCTAATTCCCCCAGACTAAGTCAGATTCCCCCGTCTCATATTCTTAGAGTTCATGTGTTTCCCTTTATAGCCTTTGTCTGAAATGTGGTGAAATAACGGGGCCTATAGCTCCTTTACTATCTCTTGCCTGCCTGCTGGTATATAAACTCCCTCGAAGCAGGGACCACATTTATCACGGTCTCCACAATAGTCCCAGAGCCAGGCACAGGGCCCGGCACGTAAACGTGGGGCAAATGATACTTCTCTCTTCCATTTGAATAATTACTGACTGAGTCCCTGTTCTGTGCAACATTCTTCCCTGTGTGCACTTTATTAGCGAGATAGGGGAAGCCGTTTTCCATTGGAGAACACAAGCTCAGGAATGGGAGGCGATCGATCGCCCCCCACCATACTTTCCATTCGGCAGCATCTACTGAACTTGACCCAGACCAGCCTGTAGAGTGCTTCCTTCATGCTCTGTTTCCACGAGAAGTCTTTGAAGAGGGCATTTATGTTGGCAGCTTGCTCTTCCCGTTCCTGTCCAGCCCTTTAAGCATCCACACCCCACAAGGGTGTGACCTCCTCCTCCCTCCCCTCCTCTGAAGGTTTGGTCCAAACAAGGCTGCGGAGTGAGCGCCCTGATTAAACCATTCCCTGACCAGCAGGGGCTGCCCTGTGACCAAGGTGAGCCACCCAGGCACCTCCTCCCAGTCTCCTAGGAGTGAGCCTGTGCCGCCCCCTGGGCAGTGCCCCAGCCATCTTCCCTGGTGGGATTTTCCTCCAGCCGCCCACACTGGACAAAAGCCCCTGGAATTGGAGCCACTCTAGGCTGAAACTCTGAACTGCAGGTTTAAGACTTGGTTGCATCAGGAGCTTGGGAGGCATCCTTCCTCCCTGTTACCTCTGGTGCCCCCTGCTGGGCAAAAATGAATGTGGGGAAACAGATGCTTCCTGTCTCCCGTTATCTGGCTCCAGCTGTAGGTCTCAAATAGGACATCTGAGGCTTGAGATGAATTCACATCAAAGCCAGCACCTGGAGGGATGAGGAAGAGTGACCACTTATAAACTTGCAGCTGTGGGACCTCGAGGACCACTGGTAAAGGGCAATCTTCCTGCTCTGCACCACAGGAAGGCCGATAGAAGATCCTCCCTCAGGATTAGGCAGAACGCGAGGAGAAGGTCCAGAGACCTTGCCCACGCCCTCTGCACCAGCACGGCCTCCGTCCTGCCTCCTCAAGGCCATCTCAGCTGTCAGCTCAGCTCTGCTGCCAGCCCCCGAGCCTCTTCCCAATTCAATGATGAGGCAAGTGTGAAAAATGGAGCGTAATAGAGACGTCACCAGATCTCCCAGGCCTTTAACTGCAGCCGCCTGCTCTCCATCCAGCTGGAACTGCCAGAGGCCAATGAGGATGCTTGCCTGTCCAGCTCACTGCTTTTCGAAAGAGGCATACATCTCCCTGGGGGCTTGTTTGTGCATGCATGTGTGGTGTGTGTGTGTGTGTGTGTGTGTGTGGTCAGTGCGTGCACGCAAGACTGCAAGCTGTGAGGCACCCTGGCTTTGGGGGCCCAAACTAGCCAGCTTCGCTTTCCGGATCTGCTGGCCTAATTCCCAGCTGCAGCTGCCACCCTGGGTCCCCTCCCAGAGGCAATCTCCCAGCAGATTTGGCAGCCGGGAAAGGAGGGGCCGAGGGAAGGGGAAAGAAACAGAGAGAGGACTCGCTCTAATCTGATGTAGATGATCCCGCAGGCTTCTCAGCTCAGCCGCCTTCTGCCGTCAGCTCTCCAGGCGATTTTCTCTGTGTACCGCACTCTCCTCTTCTGCCTTTGTCTCCTTAAGAAAGTGCCCAGAAAGTTAAACCCAGGCGCACAAACACACGTACAATCCACCTCCCCACCCCAGAAAAATCAGAGAGCAAGAACAGGCAGACGAGTAAGAGAGCACGCGCGCAAGGGAGAGGGCTTGGCTCCGTCCTGGAGGAAGAGTGACACAGGCAGAGGGAGGCTGGGGTTGGCCGTGACCCGGACTGAGGTCTCCCCAAGGAGCCTTCTTCATGGACCCAGGGATCCCACGAGGGGCTGCTTCAACTTAGGATGGGCAACTGTGTCAAGTCGCCACTGAGACATCTCTCCAGGAAGGTATGTTTCCAGAGTCCCCGAGCCCTGGGGCTGGGGACTGGGACATCTTGCCACCTGTCCCAGAGGCTGAGTGTGGAGTGGGGTGGGCATCTGAAGCTTGCTGTCCTTCCCAGGGGTTCTGTCTGAGGCTGTTTCGCTGTTCTTCTAGCTACCCCCCGATTGCAGTTTCTTCTGTCTTAAGCTCTGAGCTGAAGTTGGAACTTAGAGCTGCCAGGGGGTGGGGAGGGGCAGGGACGGGGAGGCTGCCTGTGGGAATTTGCATGAGAGTTAAGAAAGGAACATGTAGTTTTGAGGCTTGTGGACTGCAGAATGGAAAGTGTGGATTCTTCGGATGTCCTTACACAGACACCCTTGAAGCTGGCAGGATTAGAAGACCCTTCCTAGTAGCTGGCCCCAGGGCCATTCATGTCCTTTGGGGATCAGCACCCCTCTCTAGCGGTCTCTAGGTCCTCAGAATTGAGATTTTTCAAGTGGATCCCTTGGCTATGAAAAGGAACCAGGCAAAGAATCCCTTTTTTTTTCAATCCCCAGTAATTCTAGGGCCAGGTCACAGAATCCCAAGAAAGGTCAAAATGACTGGTTTAGAGCTGAGGAAATAGGGTGTCTAAGAGTTATGTTGAGCAGGAGTGTACAGAAGTCATGTTCTGCGGTACATACTCACCCCTAAGGCATCTTTCAGGCAAGTCTGGGCTCACATCTGTAGGGCTTTGTAGTCAGGCCCTGGAAGAGACTCATATTAAAGGAAGCAGCAGTGATACAGATATTTTCCTCCTGTTCTTCCATCTTCTAGACAAGAAACGTGATTGCTGCTCAGAGCGGTTAGGTAACACACTTAAGGTCACGGGCTGAGGAGTGGCTCCTTCGCCCCAGCCCCGTCCCACCTCCTCCATCAGTTTGATGACCTCTCGATTTAGGACATTTGGGGCTTTTCTGCCTGTCAGCTTCCTCTTCTGGCTAAGCTGCTCACATCACGTTCCATTTAATCTTCACTGTTTCTTGAGTCCTTCTGAAGGCTGATGGTTTCTCTCTGTGTGTCCTCAACCCCCCACATCTGTCATCGTCTTAAAGGAGTCTTCTGCCTCAAGGTGACCTCCGCGCTGTCTCAGAGAAGCAGAAACTGATCCGAATTAGTCCAGTACACCACAGGCTGGTGCCTCGCAGTGGGTTCTGTCTGGAGTTTAAGGAGTTGAACTTAAGTACAAGAATTGTCCTTCTGTCCCCTCACCCATCTTTAATGCAGAGTGCCTAAGGGTCACACTGCTCAGGTGTCCCTTTGCGTGTGACCTCGAGCAGATTACTTCATGTCCGTGTGCCCCAGGTCCTCTGTTCATCAAGTGAGGATATGAGTCAACTTCTCTCTCCCTCTCGCTCTCTTCCTCTTTTCCTGTCCTTTCCCCTCTCTCTGTGCTGGACATTAATGTACGGCCTTGTGCATGGTAAGCAAATGCTATGCTATTGAGCTACACCCCCAGCCCTAATACCTATCTCTTTAGGTGATTGTGAGAACTAAATAAAGTGCTATGCAGAGTGCCTAGTACCTAGTACTCAATCAATGTTAGCATTATTGTCAATTGCAATTGTAATTTTTCTACTCTGGGCTTTAGGGAAGTGGGATGGAGAAGAAAAGGAAAATAGAAGTAGCAGCAGCAGCAGCAGCAGCAGTTGTTGTTATTTTGGTGGTGTTATTATTATTTTCAAATCCAGGGCCTCACACATGTTAAGCACATGCTCTTCCACTGAGCTACACCTTCGTGGGTTTTTTTTTTTTTTTTTTTTTTTGTCTTTTTGAGACAGGGTCTCTCTATGCAGTTCAGGCTGGGCTTGAGCTCATTTTGTAGCCCAGGCTGGTCTTGGACTCGTAATGATCCTCCTGCCTCAGCCTCCCAAGTATTGGGATTACAGGCATGCACCACCATGCCGGTGTCCTTCATTCTCTGAATCTATGAAATAAGGTGAAAGATCATAAAACTTACTGCATTCATGCAGGCATGGTGGCGCATGCCTGTAATTCCAGCACTCAGGAGGCTGAGGCAGGAGGCTGAGGCAGGAAGATCATGGCAAGTTCAAGGCCAGCCTGCACTACGAAGTGAGCTCAAGCCCAGTCTGAACTGCATAGCAAGACCCTGTCTCAAAAAGACCAAAAAAAACCTATTGCATTCAATATCCTATTTCTTAGAAGAGTAGCAGTAATTGCTTTTTCCCATTTATGAAATACCCAATGTCTGCTATCTCACTTGCTCTTTTCCACTAAGTAGTTCTCTTTGCTAATTTTCAGAGAAAGGAGCTGGACACAGAGATAAGAACCTTCCTAAGGTCACCTAGTCAGCGGCAAGCAGAGCTGGGATTTAGATCCTGAGCTGTGTAAAGTCAGAAATGGGATTTTATTTTTGTTTTTTCCTCCAGGAGAGGCTGCTCTCCCTCTCTTTCTCCTGCACTCAGAAATGATATCATAGATTCCCAAATCTGACCTTCAAGGTCGTCTAGCCCAAATTCCCACTTAGTGCAGCAGCCCTCTCTGCAACCTCCCCGAACTCGAATCCTTCAGCTTCTCCTTGAACCCTCAGGGCGAGGGAGTTTTGACCCGTGTGCTTTTGTCCAGCTTGTGTTGTTAGAAAGCCGTAAGGTCACGAGGCACACTGGCTCTTCCTGTTGTCACTCCACGCCTAGGACATGGCCCCTGAGTGCCAAGAGACACTGTCAGCCGGTGACCTGGCTTCCTGAGTGGTAGCTGGGGAACTGGTAGTGGTGAGAGGCAGCCTGCTCCAGGCTCAGAGTTGGCCAGCACCAGGCTGTCAGGTGCCATCGCTGGCTGGAGAATGCAGCCAGGTGCCATCCCTGGCTGGAGAGCTGCAGCTTCGAGGGGCAACTTGATGCCAGGCAGTGTTATGATCAAGAGATGCAGTGGAAATTCCCCAGCCACCACTGGCTCATTCTTCGCAGGAGCAGATTCCTCTCCATCCTTCTCATTTCCTTCCTGATTGGCAGATGTTCCCCCACTTCCTCTGGTACCGGAAGTAAAGGCCTTTTGGCACCAGCATCTCTTAAACGGCATCACCACCACTATCACCATCATCATCATCATCACTATGGCAACTCTATTTATTTGGCTCTGACCGTGTTCTAGACACTATGCGAAGCACTTTACATGCCGTAGCTCATTTCTTTCCCACAGAGCTCCTCTGAGTAGATGTGACTGTCCCCACTGTACGGAAAAGGAAACTGGAGCACAAAGAACTGAAGTGACCCGCCCAAGGTCACACAGCAAGTCAGTGGCAGAGACACAACTTGTCCCTAAGGCTGTGTCCAAAGCCAGCATATTAAACCGCCTCTCAGAGTTCTGTGCCGCCTGCTGTCTCCTCCTTCCTGGATTCTGATCATTCTGAGCCCCGTGCGGGAGATTCAGCCAGAAATGAAAAGTCTGATTTTTGCCACCATCTCCTGAGATGATTCCCTGGGGTTAGGCCCTAGCCAGTCCCAGGCTTCCTTCAGTGCCCACTCCCAGCTGGGAAGGACTCTCTGGGTCTGCGCCCCGGTCCTGAAACGTGAGGGAGCCCAATGGAGGCTTTGACTCTCCCCTCTTTGGGGCATCCAGCTAGAATGAGTGCTTGATCTATCTGATGAGCTCTCAAGTTCTGTGATTTCCTAACACTGACCCTTTTCATGCTCACTGATCTTGAGGCTTGGATCTTTGGGTCTGAATCACTGTTCTCCTTTGAGGATCTAGAATCCGGCTTCTCCCTCTCTAGGACTGCAAGGGAGCCTCCATCTGATGCCCCACAGCAGGGGGCTTCAGGGAGAAGCATGAGAAGACCGGGTAGGGGCTTGCTTTGGCGGGACAGGTTGCCCCTTGGTCTTGGGATCTCCTATGCATGGCCTTTGTTGAGCTGCACGCAGCTGGCCAGAAGTGGAGTGAATTAGATGGGAACGTAGGGCATGCGTCTCCACGGTTCTCAGACTAAGACAGCCCGCAGGAGTTTAGCTTCTCTGTCCATCTTTGGGAAGAGTCTGCTTCAGGTCCCACACTGAGGAGAGACCACCCAGTGCAGGGCTAAGAGGAGCAAGCCATGACCTGGATTCTAGAGAGGTACTGGGCATGCTGGGGACGCCAGGGTGGACCTAATGCTGTGTCTGAGATCCTAGGGGGAAGCTCTGTGGGCACTGCTGACTTTTTATAGCTGCGTGGGAATCTGCGGGGAGGAGGATGGGGTTGGCCAGGGCCTGGGATCACAGCTATATTCGGTCAGCAGACAAGGATCTTGCCTCAGCCTCTGGAGGTCCAGCAGGCTGGGCAGGGAGCCAGGGGAGGCGGGAGGGAGGGAAAGAACCGCTGGGAGCCTGTCTAATCTTGAGGTCACAAGTGGGGCAGAAGCCGAATGCAGGCATGTCTTATTTAGCCCACCTGGTGCTTTAGGTCATGCGAATTGGCAACAGAGGGCTGGAGCTAAGCAGTGCTGCCCATTTAGTGGGGCACACAGTGTGCGTTTTGTCTCTGTCCCCACCTCTCTCAGCCTGCCTGCTTCATTTATGGCAGCAACAGCACCTGTTTGCAAGCTGTAGTCCAGCAAACCGGCTCAGCACGTTCACCGTGCTGTCAGCTCTGACTGCTTTCCCAGCCTCCCAGTAGCGTCCCACCAGGGAAGGGTCAGAGCCTGGGAGGGAGCTGGGAGACAGGACTTGGCCGCAGGGATTGAGCCAGGATACTAGGAACATTTGCGGGAAAGGACATCCTTGTGTTATGCTCCGAGAGATGCTTCCCGTTGGCTAGGACAGCTTCCCTCTGTCTGCTTCTCTTCTCAGCATCTCCCTGCGCACAAGTGTGTGATTCTGTGCTCATGTATGTGTGGATGTGCATATGCATGTGTGTTTGTGTGTATGAGTGACACAGACAGCATCACGCCCAGCTCTCCCTGGAACAACTTTCAGTCAAGGCTCAGCATCCACACCTGTGGGACCAATGTGACCCGCCCCCCTGGCCCTGCGCATCCTGAGGCTCTTGTACCGTCCAAGCATCTTCTCTTGAGGAGACTCCCTCCAGGACCAGGAGCCGGGCCGGGCCAAGAGAGCCTATGTGGGCAAGGAGGTGATGCCCTGCTTCTCTTTTGCATTTGCTTGGTGTGGGCTGCAGATGCACCAAGAAGAGAAGAGCAGCTACGTGGTGGTGCAGAACAGCGAGGAGGGGCTGGCGGCCAGCGGCGAGCTCCCTGGACCACTCCTGATGCTGGCCCAGAACTGCGCCGTCATGCACAACCTGCTCGGCCCCGCCTGCATCTTTCTGCGCAAGGGCTTTGCTGAGAACAGGCGGCCTGTACGTAAGTTGGCCCCAGTGGAGCTCGCCGAACTCAGCTTCACAGGGCTTGTTAAGGGACTGGGAAGAAGAGGGGGTTCCGTACCCAGCACTTCCTGTCCCCCAGCGGATTCTTCTCAGATTGGATCCCCAAAATTTCCCCTTCTTGGCTGCAAAGTGAGTCCATGTTCACCAGCAAGAAGTAATGCTAGCAGATAAGATTCTGTGGAACGCTTGCGATGTGCCAGGCGCTGGGCTAAGTGTGTTGGTGGATGGCCTCATTTAATCCTCAGGAACTCCAAGAGGTAGGTGCTTTTATCATCCCCATTTTACAGATGAGGAAACTGAGGGACCAGATAGTCAATGGTCATCTAGTAGTCAAATAGTGTGACCTCAGAGCATCCTGCTTGGAATGGTTCTAGAATACACCATTGTAGAGTTTTCTACCATGATAGGAAAAAACTCTCAAATCTGTGCTCTACATTACAGTAACCACTAGCTACAGACAGCCATTGACCCTTTGACATGTGATTAGCGCCACAAAAGAACGGAGTTAATTTTGTTTCATTCTAAGTCAGATTTAAATAGCCATATGTAGCTAGTAGCCTCTGTAGTAGATAACCTTCTGTGAACTGTCACAGGGAAGAAGGAGACGCTGATGTTACAGATACAGCCTTTACAGGTTGTATTTATTCAATGCCACACGCTAAATACATGTCTTGTGTTACGGCATAAAGGCCTGCGAGGTCGGTACTGGTATCAACCCATGTTACGGAGGATGGCACAGTGGCTCAGAGAATGGAAGTGGTCTGCCCTCAGTCCCACAGCTCAGAAGTAGCAGATCTGGGATTTGTACTTGGATCTGTCTGACTGTAGGGCCAGCTGCATAAACTGGGGGAAAGGAGTGCGCATGCGTCATGTCGCTGACCCCCGAACTGGGCACACGGTTCCCCGCACATCAGTGGGATCAGTCCCTAGCTACACGCCTGATCGCAGCACACACCCCACACTGCTCTGCACCACGGTGCTGCCACAGGCATGCTGGGAAAGGTGTCTTCCTTGCTGCTGGCTGGGCTCCGAGCATATAAGAGGTGTGGAAAGAGCTGTGATGGAAGTTACCAGCACCTTGATGGATGGGAAAGAACTGGTACGGCTAAGTAGCTGGTCCCTGTGAGTATCCTTTGCACAGATGCGTGTGCGTGCGCGCACACACGCACACATGCACACACGGCTGGCCCTCTCCATGCGTTCTGTGGATTCAACCAACTGTAGATCAAAGAAAAATTTTTTTCCCATTACTGGGGATTGAAACCAAGGCCTTTGTAATGAGCTACATCCTCAGCCTCTCTCCATTTTTGTTTTATTTATGTAGTTATTTTTATCTATTTTAATTTTAAGACAAGATCTCTCTAAGTTACCCAGGCTGGGCTCAAACTTGCAATGCTTCTGCCTCAGCATCCCAGAATGCTGAGATTATAAGTATACGCCACCACGCCTGGCTTCAAAACTACTTGAGAAAACATTGCATCTGCACCGAGCCTGCACGGACCTTTTTCTCAACACTATTCCCTCAAAAGTACAGTATAACAACTATTTGCATAGCATTTACAAGGCACTAGAAATCCCACGTCATCCAGAGATGACTCAAAGTGTTTGGGAGGCTGTGCCTAGGTTATACACAAATGACACACCATTGCATGAAAGGAACATGAACATCCTTAGATTTTGGTATCCACAAGGAGACCTGGGACACATTCCCCACCAATACTGTGCTCACTTTCACTTAGCGCTAATACAACACATTGGGGAAAAAAAACCATCTTTTTGATCACCTGAGAGTCTAGGAACATACCTGCCTGTCTACAGCAGGAGCAGTAAACCCTTGCACTAGGAGCCTTTTTAAGCAAAAGTCCCCCAGCAGCAACAGCTCACAGAGACAAAGATCCCTCCAGGCGACTCCTTCCTCCAGCTAGAAAGGGGGCCTGGAGGACCCGGAGCCAGTAGGCTGCTATCCTGGGCTCACACATACTCTGCAGCCAAGCCGCCCTTCTGAGGCCAGAGCCCTCCCTCGGGGCCAGTGTGGAGCGGATGGGTGCCACAGCCTCCACCCGCCCTGGAACAACCTGTGCGCGCCATCCTTGCTGTGGCCCATGAATGCCTGTGTTCTGATACAGGTACCCACACCTGTTGTGAGTCACCTGGGGCGGCCACACCTGCCTCACGTCCTTCCTTCCCAAAGGTGGAGGAGTGGAACATGGGCACCTGTGTCTATTCCGTGCCAATCTGTCTCCTCCTGGGCAAGCCTGGGGCACCATCCGGATCCTGCCCCATGCTTCCTCTGGGCCTACTCTCTGGAGACTTCTCTGCCATCTGTTCTGACGCCTAGACCCAGGGTTTCTTTGACTCCCCAAGGAGACCTGGGCCCTGCTGGAGGCTAGAGGTGTGTGCTTTGGGCCCTGGCAACAGCTAGAGACACTGGCAGCCCCCAGGGTCCTATGCTGTGTCTTGTGGCAAGACAAGGTATAGGGATAGTGGTCAAACAGGGAAAGAGGGGCTGGGGATTTAGCTGAGTGGCAAAGTGCCTGCCTGGCAAGTGCAAGGTCATGAGTTCGATTCCTGGTACGGGAAGAAAAACAAACAGGGAAAGATGGGACGGTGCCCAGGAGGCAGGGCACAGCCCCAATTCTGGCTCCTCCTCCCTCTCTCTGGGGCTGCTTGTGCATCCCTGCTTTCTCTCCTCGGCAACCTCTCTTCTCCCGTTGCCTGCAGGCTTCCCCTCCCTGGCTCCTTCTGATGGCACTAGGTGGTGTCCTCTCTGTGTGACTTCCCCCAGCCCTGTTTTATTTACAGGTTTTGCCTCTGGATCAGCTCTGTTCCAGGCCCATTCCTGTGCCCGAAGGTTCTGTGCTCAGGCTCCGGGGCAGTGTTGAGTCCTGGAGCATCTTCCATCCGGGGCCCTGGAGCTTCTGTTTCTATGGGATGCGTGTGGCTGCAACTTTTCCCTTCAGGGACACGGTCCAGACAGACTTCTGCTCTGTTCTATCAGTTCCCACCTGGTGCCTGCTGCTACTTGGATGGCTCCACCGGATGGGTGTCTGGTAATTTCTGGGTCCCTTGCCTCTGCTAATAGGATATATTTCCTCTGTTTCAGGATAGATCACTGCGGCCAGAAGAGATCGAAGGTAAAACTTGGACCTTGGGGGAGAGGGCTGCTCAGCCCTCCAGGAAGCTGTGGGAGGGAGGTTGGTAGGAAGAAAGGCAGAGACACTTTGGCTTCCTGGGATAAGGACCTGGGCAGACAGGGACCTGCTGTGGAGATCGTCACTGGAGGAGCGAACCTGGAGCAAGCCCGACCCTTGAGTCCTGGGGAATGTGGGGTGCACCTTGCCCAGCTGCTGAGTCCTGGGCTGCCTTTGTCCCCAGAGACTCTGAGGGTCCCACCACCAACCCCATCTGTCTTTGTTCACTTCCCCAGAGCTCCGAGAGGCCTTCAGAGAATTCGACAAGGACAAGGATGGCTACATCAACTGCCGGGACCTGGGCAACTGCATGCGCACCATGGGCTACATGCCCACTGAGATGGAGCTCATCGAGCTGTCCCAGCAGATCAACATGAACTGTGAGTCCCTTCAGAGGGCACCTCTGCCCTTCTGCTCACACGGGCCTGGGTTCCAGTTCTGCATTCGTCTCTTTCTAGCTCTGTGGCCTGGTGGAAACTGCATACCCTCTCTGAGCCTCACGTTCCAAACCTGTCAAATGAGGATGGAAATAAAGGACAGGAGCACAGGAAGTAAATGAGGGAATATGCGCAATACTCTACCTGGCTGGCAGTGATCAGAGGGAGTGGGATGTGGTGGTGCACACCTGTAATCCCAGCTGCTTGGGAGGCTGAGGCAGGAGGATGGCAAGTTTGAGTTTGGCTTGGACAACTTAGTAAGACTCTGCCTCAAACAAAAAAAGTAAAAATAGGCTAGAGATGTAGCCAGGAGCTGGTAGAGAGCCCCTGGTTCAATCACAAATGCCACCCCCCCCCAAAAAAAAAAGACAAGGCTCACCATGGAACTAGCTGGAAGCTTACATTAGGCTCCGGGGATTAACCCAGTTCACAATGAGTAAAACAGGTGGAAACATGCAGACGCCGTGCCATGTCAGCTGTGTGGAAACAATCACAAGGATGCAATTCTCTGTCTTAGTCTGGGTACAGTGCAAGGTTTGGTCGGTGAAGGGCATCGGAGGGAGTGGGGAGTGTGGTGGGAAAGGGACGCGCTCTCAAGCCAGCTGCTCCTCCAGGTGGCTGAAGGTGGGGCCTCTGCGGAGCTCAAGGAATGAATACAGCTGCCCACCTCCCCAAGTTCCCCCCTATCCACACCTCTCCCCCTGGGATTATCCCCCAACACCTATCAATCAGTGGTTGAAAGCTTCTGTGAGCGGGCGGGTGGGTACCAGCTCTCCGGAGCTTCTCCCTCTGGGGAGAGCCCCTTGGGAGTTGAGTTTGCATCTGCACAACAAGGGTAAAGCTGGGACAGCTCTTCTCTCTGCCTGTTCATGGGTGTATACTGGTCTCTCCACGCTTGCCTCTGTGACCCAGAGTGTCTTTCCCCATCTGTGTCTCCTGCCTCCGCTTCCTGACTTGTCCCCTTACTCAGCCTCTCTGGCCATTCCCTGGAGCCAGTATTTGACATGGCACCTGTCTGCTTCTACCCTGGGCCTCAGGACGGACAGATCAGGAAGGGGTTGGCCATCCCCGCAGCTCCGTCGGTGGGGGTGGGGAATGGGTGTGTGAGGGTGACCCAGCCCCTTCCTCTCTTGCCCCAGTGGGTGGCCATGTGGATTTTGATGACTTCGTGGAACTAATGGGGCCGAAACTCCTGGCAGAGACAGCAGATATGATTGGCGTAAAGGAACTGCGGGATGCCTTTAGGGAGGTAGGTGAGGGTCCGTGAGTGGCGGGGGAGGGTGGAGTATTTGAATCCCAAAGAAGCCGGGGCCTGAGCCCTGGAGCAGGGGAGGGAACTTGGACAGAGAAGGGTGCAGAGGAAAGAGGGCCTCTGATGCCGAGAAAGGGCCGCTGCCTTGGGATCTGATGTGACCGGGCTCCGTGTGGTGGTTCTGTCCCCTTCCTCCCGCCCCCTCTAGTTTGACACCAATGGTGATGGGGAGATAAGCACCAGTGAGCTGCGAGAGGCCATGAGGAAGCTCCTGGGCCATCAGGTGGGACACCGAGACATAGAGGAAATTATCCGAGACGTGGACCTCAATGGGGATGGACGAGTGGACTTTGAAGGTAGGTGGGGCTTGCAAGCAGGAGAGAAGCAAGCCAGAGAGGTCGTCCCTGGAGCCCTTCACCCGCGTGTCTGTGGTGCAGTCATCGATCCAGCCCAAACCCCCACTGTCCTGCCTTTCCACGCACCCACCCCTCTTCACCTGCCCATCGCCGTCTCTGAATAAGCCCTTCAGGGTCAATCCTGCTCTTCACAGTATCTCCCAACTGCTGATTGTACCTGTGGCCCAACTGGACCCTGAAATTGGAGAGAAAAAGGAGCCCTATTTTTTTGTCTCTGTATTTCCTACTTAACAAAGCACCTGACACATAGCTAATACTCAGTTTTCTTTTAAAAAAAATTAATAATCATGATAGTTACCATTTATTACACACTCATGTACACGTCATTGTACTAAGTCAGTGCACATATATTATCTCATGTAATTTCGCAGTGACTCATGGATTATACCATTATTGCTTCCTGTTACAAATGAGGACACTGAGACTCACAGAAGTAATATAACTCGCTCAAGACTGGCTATTAGAAGTCAGAGCCAGGCACAAACCCAGGCCTGGAATCTCATCTGCTGTAGAACCTTGTTCCTGACAGCATTCCAGAGTCTCTGGGACATGGTTGAAAAGGAAAATGCTAACCCTGAATTCCAGGAACTTGCATTCTGGGGCAGAGTGTGTGTCCAGGACACAAAGTTGGGAGGCCCTCAGGGGAGGCCTTCCAGGGGGAAAGTGTGAATACTTGGAGAGATGGCATTGCCACCGTCAGATCTGAAAAATCTCAGGTCGCTCTGTCACATTGCCAACCTGCATGGTGCAGGTGATGGCCCTTCCCTGAAAGCCTGGCGTTGTCCATTGATTTTACCAAGATGTCTTTCTTGTGTACCTGCTATGTATTGAGACTTGGTCCCTACCTTGAAGAGCCCAAGACCAGCAAGGAAAACAGAAAAGTAGTGGAGTCCATGCTGTGCTGGGGGAAGTAGGATGTGGAGTGTGGAGGGGGCCCCTGTGCCAAGCTGGGGAGAAGTAGGGGGATTTCCTAGAGGAGGTTATAAGTGAGGGGAGCCCTGAAATACGGGTGGAAGCCACCAGGAGAGAGAGAAGGAGGGGCATTTGTCTAAATGAGTTGAAAGCTTATATCCACGTAGAAACTTGCACGTGGAGGTTTGTAGAAGCTTTCTTCATTATTGCCAAAACCTGGAGGCAACCAAAGTGTGCCTCAGTAGGTGAGCAGGGAAGTGAACTGTAGTGTATCCAAGACAGTGGAGTATTATTCGTATTGAGCAATCAAGCATAAAAAGACAGAGTGAAACCTCAGATACGTGTGACTGAGTGAAAGAAGCCAACCTGAAAAGGCTACACTGTCTGATTCCAGTTCTGTGACATTCTGGGAAAGGCAAAGCTATCCGAACAGGAAAAAGATCAGAGGCCACCAGGATTGGGGAAAGAGGATAAGGGGATAAACAGACAGAGTACAGAGGATTTAGGCAGTGAAAGTACTCTTTGTGACCATAAGAGCAGATACACGTTATTGTATGTGTGTCTAAGGCCATAGACTAGGACGCCAAGAGCAAACGCTAAAGTAAATGTGGATGTGAGGTCATAAGCGTGGATCCGCGTGGCGCGTCAGTTCAGATGTACCAACTGCTGTTGGGTGGGACGGTGTGGAGGGTCAGAGGACTATGCATGCGCGAGGGCAGAAGGTGTAAGGGAAGTCTCTGTACCATCCAGTCAGTCTTCCTGGGATCCCACTGAAACCACTAAAGCAAGCAAACAAACAAAACAGCCACCAGCGTGTAGGGGGGAAAAAGAAGCCAAGGAGGCAAAGGGTGCAGAGAAGCTGAGAGACAGCAGGGATGGAAGGACAGAGCCCGCGCTGGAAAGCACAAGCGCAAACCGCCTGTCTGTGCAGATGAGGTCTGTGTGGCTGCCGCGTAGATTGCAGTGCACCTACCGGTAGGGTGGAGCTGTTAGGGGGCCCGGATCAGGCAATATCCGGTACACCGGACACCCTTGGGGAGCCCCGGCGGTTTAAGCAGGGGTCGCTGTACAGATCGGAGGCTGTGTGTGTGTGTGTGTGTGTGTGTGTGTGTGGAAGATAAACTGGAGGGAGCAGAGTGGATGCAGGGGACCAGTGTGGTCCTCGGCTGGACCCTGACGCTGTTTCCCTGCCGCTCCTGTACCCTTGCAGAGTTTGTCCGGATGATGTCCCGCTGAGGCCTCGAGGGCCCCGCCAGGACTGCCAAGCTCCCCAGGTGGGGAGGGGAGAAGAGGAGCCGGAGCTCGCCTCGCCCCGCCATGCCGCAGCCGCCCCGAGCCCAGGATGTCCTGGCGGATGGGGCCTGCCTGCACCCGGGGGAGGTGCCTACCCCGGACCCCCACCCCTCCGCACTGTGAAAGACTCACAACTCCTGCAACTGGAAAAGGGGCGCCCACCAACGGGGAGGCCACTGTGCCAAGCCGGCAGAGGTCATGCCAGGCGCCAAGTGCCATGTCCCCAGCCGCCGCTGGCTGGGTGGGCCAGCAGACCCCACACAGCATGTCTGCCCCAGGGCAGAGCCTCTCGCTGCCCTCCTTAGCTCTGTGCCCGTCCCAGCTCGCCTCAGCCCTGTGATCTCAGAACCAATAAAAATATTTCCGAGAGAATGACAGCCAGGGTGGTCTTGGCTTCTTGGGCCTGGTTAGACAGGGCGCACGTTTACTGAGCGCCACCTGCATGCCCTGGATTGGCTGAATTTTCCTGCATTTGTCAGACATTTACGGAGTGACTGTAATAGACCCCTCCATCCTCATTTCATAAGCCCAAACCCGTGAGAGGGAGGCTGAGGGATGTTATTTAGCTGAGTGAGCGGGTATCCTGCTTACTAGTTTCTGTAAGAGGAGGGTGACTCGTGCGTGAACGTCTAGCAGGGTCTGCGCTGCAGCCAGACTTCCGGGAGTATTTGTATAGGTCAGGGAAACAGACACAACATGAACACATCCATGTGTGATTACAAATGGAGAGCCTGCTATAAAGGAAGAAGGCCGGGACCTCCGGCAGATTATAATACCTGACCTGCTCCAGGGAGGTCGGGGAAGGATTTCCTGAGGAAGTGATGACAAGCGCTTTGGCCTGGGGCAAATCCCAGAGTGTGAGAGGAGACAGATGTTGAAACAGCTGCCCGCCTCCGCTGAGATGGGAAAGCAGGATGTCCAGTGGGCAGACCTTGGGTTTGCTTGCTGTGACATCGGTCCGGTTGCGTCCTCTCTCTCAACCTCAGTTTTCTCATGTGCCTAACCCAGCTCCCCTCAGCTCTGTGATCTCCGAACCAGTGAAAAAACAGGGATAATAAAGGTTGGAGTCAGGACAGAGTAAGCACTTGTGTCCTTCTGGGAGCTGCTATTTACAAATGCAGTGGAATTGTGCCGGTATAGACTAGATTCGTTATAATCATTGTAATTAATTCCTACCGGGGAAGCTTGAAGGAGTCAGGAGAAATTTGGGAGCTTGGCAGATTTGGGGAATAGTTGGGCAGTTATGTATGGTGGCCAGTGTAGTCCAAGCCATGGGTTCTTTACCTTAGCATGTTTTTGTTTTTATTTTTATTTTTGGGGTTTTTTTTTGAGACAGGGTCTTGCTATGCTATTCAGGCTTGGCCTTGAGCTCACTTTGTAGACCACGTTGGCCTCAAAGTCACAGTGATCCTCCTGCCTCAGCCTCCTGAGTGCCGGGATTACAGGCGTGCGCAACCACACCCAGCTACCTTAGCATGCGTAAGAATGCCTGGAGGATTTGTTAGACCACAGATCTGAGCCTTCGTCCAGTGGTTCTGGTTCCGTGTTTGGGTTGGGCTCCATGAGTCTTTTTTGTTTGTTTTTTAATTTTGTTTTGTTTTCTGGTACTGGGAATCGAATTCGGGACCTTGCGCTTGCCAGGCAGGCGCTTGTGCCGCTGAGCTACATCCCCAGCCAATGAATCTGCATCTCTAACAAGTTTCCAGAGGATGCTGATGCTGCCGGCCTGCCGGTGGCCCACAGTCTGAAGAGATCAGCTATAGGTCCCAGGCATGTGAGAGGCAGGTGTGTGTCCAGGCAGCTGGGGCAGGCGGTGGGGGTAAAGCCTAGAGCTGGTGGGTGGGCAGAGCCTTCCTGTGCCCTGTGCCACAGCAGAGAGAGGCTTCTTGTCCTCAGACCTGGCAGGGAACATGGGATGGACCGTGGGCCCCAGCCAGAGGCCTGGGTAATCCCCATGTCCCTGAGGCCCGTGAGGCTGGGTGCTCCCAACTCACTCTAATAATCCAATTCTGAGGCTAAGCCCTTGGCTGTGCGCCCTGCTAGGCGAGCCTGCAGCCCTGCCCACCCCTGTACCAGCTTAGTTCTGCCGAGGGACTCTGAGCTGTTTCACAAACACGGTGCCCTTGGCGGGAGGGGAGAGCAATCTGCAGGCATCTCTGTCACCTAGTAGGGTCAGCCCCTGGGGGCACCACAGGACAGGCCACAGTTAGGAGCAAGCTGGGACATTCTGTCCCCAGGGTGTGGCCTCCTAAAATAACGGACATGGCAGCTGATGTCATAGCCGGGCCATGGTTCAGGGGAACTTTCGTGTTCAGGACAAGGGGAGCCCAGGGGCTGGGCTTCTGTCTCCTCTGACGCCGGAGGCTAGAACTCCTCCTTTTCACCTGGGTTGTATTTTAGGGCTCTTAGTAAGATTGTTTGAAGAATGGGTTCTGTGACTTTTCAAGAACCGAGGTGCACTTTTCCTAGTAGGAATTCTTTCTGCCCCACCACGCCCCTACTTCAATACTTCCCCTGGTAGGGAGACCCATGAGTGTTTTTCTTTTTTTTTTTTTCTGGTACCGGAAATTGAACTCACGACCTTGTGCTTGCCAGACAGGCGCTGTGCCGCTGAGCTAAACCCCCAGCCCCCATGAGTCATTTTAGAAGAGCACTTATTACTGAAAAGGCCTTGAACAGTCTGATGTTCCTCCTTGGGACTTGTAAAGTCTAATTCATTCACTCATTCATGCATGTGTTCAAATTTATTTATGTTGTGGCACCGGGGATGGAGCCTAGAGCCTTATGCACGTTGCCAGCACTTTAGCACTGAGCTATATCCTCAGCCCCTGCTGATATTTATTGAGCTTCTACTGTGTTCCAGGTGTTGTGCCAGAGTCCCTGTCCTCAAGGAGCTTAGACTCTGCTGGGGGAAACAGGTAAGGAAACAGA